GCCCCGGGATGCTCACCACGGGGCAGTTGTTGAAGTACCTACACCACCACTACCAATAAATGGAGCGTCGGTGGCTCAGAGTTTAAGCATTTGTAATGTACAGATCTTGGGTTCGAATCCCGCCATGAGATTTTGGATTTCTTGAATTTCATATGAACATAATTAACCCGCTCTTACAAAGAAGGAAAACATCGTGATGTCTGCACATATCGGCGAAGAAATTTAAAGATTTGTGATAAAGTTGACTATGGCCTAGACAACCCTGACTTAGATTAGGGAGCCCCTCAGTGGGGACGTATAATGAGCTGGTGATATATGGATGGACATGATATCTGTTCACTAGTCTTTTACTGATTAACTAGCTTTCACCCGCGACTACGTCCGCGTGTAATTAAAAAAATAAAACAAAAATAATAGCCTATGTGTTCTTCCAGATAATCTTGTACATCTATGCCAAATTCCATAGAAATCCGTCCAGCCGTTTAGGCTACAAACTCTAACAAACATCCATCTATCCATCTAAACTTTCACATTTATAATATTAGTAAGTAAGATAGCTGTTGCTCGGGACTTATTCTCCGTGAAGCTAAAAAATAATAATAAACCCTACACTGACGTCACACTTGAGGCTATATATTTTTACGCTATTAAACTTAGGGAGTAAATATTTTGGATAAAAACTGTAATGTGGGAAAGAGACCATAAGTGGCTGGCAACATTAAGGAAGCAAGGTTGCCATCATGTTTGTGACATTTGCAATTGATAATTTGAGTATTTTTGTCTCTCTCACACACACACACACCTGGAGAATATCTGCGTGTCGCAGGTGGCGGACATGAGCATGAGCTTGAGGTCCTTGCAGCGCGGCAGCGCGTCGCGCAGCGCTATCAGCAGGAAGTCGCTGAACTTGTCCCGCTCGTGCACCTCGTCCACGAAGATGTGAGTCACGCCTAACACGGAATATACTCACAAATTTCAATACTAATGACTTTTTAAAAAAAATATGTCAGTCGAACGGTAATATGATCAATACTGGTGAATTTTAAAACGAATACACTAAGGCAACTACGTAAAAGATATCGAGTGTTCCGTTGTGACGACTAGAAATGTACTGAGCGACTGAAGGAACTGAGGTAACTGACGGCCAGAGAACTTGTTTGCCACTGCGCGACTGAGAGACTAAGGGGAGCCTCACTCCTTGCAAAGACTTTTATGAAACACCCCCCACTATTACTTGCGTTTCTTTTATTTTGTAACAATATATATAACCAAAACTTGGTAAACTCAAGTAATAAAACACAATATATTGCTAAAATTAGCCAAAACTGTCGTAAAAACAGTATATTTGAGAAAAATCTCAAAACTACAAATCGTTTTTTGGAAAAAATTCACACGGAATACATTGCTGACACTTTTGTAAAACACTATAATTGGGAAATTTAATGACATTACAAACAAAAAAGTTACGTTAGCTTAGGTTGTACCATTCCAAACCAACTTGGATCAATTTTGTACATTCGCGAAAACCCACGGTGTTGGACTTTCTGAATTGCCTTGTCCGTTTAAAAAAGAAAAACTTTTTCTCTTAGAAATAACCAATTAGTTAGCAATAAGTTACATAAACGATATGATAATAAAAAAAAATATTTATGTACTATTTTTTTTATGAAAATATTAGTCGATTTTTAAATTAGCGCTTAGTGACTGAACTTTTTTTCTATAGATATTTAAAAGCTATCCTATTGGCTATTCCACGTTTCAATACAAACTGTACCTAATAAGTACACCATCAACTTTGCTAACTGTACCTTATATTGTTTACTAGCTTTCGCCCGCGACTCCATTCGCGTTATTCTTCGCGTTTATTGTCCATTCGGAATGAAAAAAAAACAAAAGTGAGTAGCCTATGTGCTCTTCCAGACTATCCTCTACATCTATGCCAAATTTCATCGAAATCCGTTTAGCCGTTTAGGCTACAAACTCTAACAACCATCTAAACTTTCGCATTTATAATATTAGTAAGAAGTAAGATGGCTGTGGTACCTGCAAGTGAGTTTTCTCCAGCCATGAGGGTGCGGAGCAGCACTCCGTTGGTGCAGTATGTGAGCACAGTGCGGGGGCTGATGCGGGACTCCAGTCTGATCTGATACCCTATCGACTGACCTATCTTCTCCATACGTTCAAAAGCTACCTAAGGAAAACATTATTTGATTACGAGCTGTTGCCCGCAACTTCGTCCGCGTAGTATTAGAAAACTATATAAATTACAAATAGCTACGTATCCCTCGGGAACCGGACATTTCTCGGGGATAAAGTTTATCCCATGTGTACTCCAGACTTTGTTTTATATCTGTGCCAAATTTCAATAAGATATGTTGAACCGTTGAATGATCGAGTAAACATTAAAAAACTAAATTAATGAATCCCATGGAAACCTTAACTATTCCCGGGATAAAAAGTAGCCTATGTGTTCTTCCAGACTATGCTCTAAACCTGTGCCAAATTTCATGGAGATCCGTTCAGCCGTTTAGGCTACAACCGCTAACAAACATCCATCCATCCATCTATCTATCCATCCATCTAAACTTTCGCATTTATAATATTAGTAAGAAGTAAGATGGAAATCATAGATCAAGAATAACAGAGCAATTGAAATTATTTAAATAAATTAAGTTACATAAAAGAAATGGAAGATTTGATCATAGGTTGGTGTGAAAGAGATATGATATATCGGCGAAAAAAAAATTTTTCAAAAATTTTTTTAAATTAGATTATTACTAATAATAGCCTACTGTTTTTTTGTAGATTTTTGTATAGATGATGAAAATATATAACTTCTGTGTTAATTCAAAACTTAAAAAAAAATTAATGTTTTGTAAAAATGTAAATTTTGAATACTGGCATTTTTCTATTTTACATATGATATAAATATCTTTACTTTAAATGGAAAATTAGTTTAGTTATAAAAAACTAAGCTATGCTATTGTAAATAAGATCTGTGTTTCAACTGACCCTCTCAGCGACAGAGACGGCTGATATCCTGCGTGGCTGAGTACAGTATATCCGAGCAGGTTGCTTCTGTTCTTGGCACCAGTCCAGCACCAGTTGGGGCAGTTGTGTCGTCTTACCGCAGCCTGTAGCACCTGCTACTACTATCACCTGAAAATGTTTTTACAAATATTTTTATAAAATACTTGCTATTTTTGTTTTTTAATGACTGAAAGAGATAGCAATATACAGTTATTATTGGAGATTTGCTTTTAATCTAAATTTTAATTTTTTTTTATAACATAAAATGGCAAACAAGCAAGCGGCCACCTGAATCCGCCAAAATGGCGAAGCGACCGCTGCCTATCCTCATCCTCTTTGGCGTTATATTATCATACTAATATTATAAATGTGAAAGTTTAGATGGATGGATGTTTGTTAGAGTTTGTAGCTTAAACGGCTAAACAGATTTCGATTAAATTTGGCGTAGATGTAGAGGATAGTCTGGAAGAACACATAGGATTACTCAGTTCTGTTTTTTAATTCCATGCGGAATCGCGGGCATTAGCTAGTTCTCCATAAATGGAATATTTAAAGTGGTCATAAATATAAAATATAATAAGACCTGGTTATGAGATATGGCATTGAGAAGTT